AGATCCACCCTGACTATTCATTGGAAGGACTGATGCTGAAGCTGAAGCTCCACTACTTTGGCCACCTGAAGTGAAAAGCCAATTCATTGGACAAGGCACTGATGCTGGGAAAGATTGAAGGCAAAAGGAGGAGAGGGTGGCAGAGGATAAGATGGTTTGACAGCATCTCCGCCTCAAAGGGCGTGAGTTTGAACAAACTCCAGGAGATAGAGGAGGACAGGGAGGCCTGGTGTGCTGCAGCCCATGGGGTCAAAGAGGCTGAGACACTCTGACCAGTAACTGAAAAGTAAGCAAACTCTCAGCTTGAATCTTTGACAGGAGGCCCTAAACAGAAGGTGATGACTTACTAGCTTTATTTTCATTGTATTTATGTTCTTTTCTTCTTTCAATTTATGGCAGAGCCTACTGGTTCATGATATGGATTTGATCATCCCATTTACAACATATTTGTTTAATAGAAAAAAAATGAGTCGATTTAAAATACTGAGTAGGAGATACAAAGGTTTGACAAGCAAGTGAAAGTTGTGTATTGATGTTCACAGAGCTGTCCCCTGCTCAGCAGCCCGAGTGGCGTATCTTGTGTCTCCCGCGTTGATTCCATGTGTCAAGGGGGCCTGGGTCCAGTTCTCAGTAACTCCTTTCCTCGTCCGGCCTGCTGTCTCCTCATCTATGCTGCAGTTACTTTGTTCTCTTGCTCAGTTGTTAAGTCATGTCTGATTCTTTTGTGACCTCGTGGACTGTACCTACTAGGCTCCACTGTCTGTGGGATTTTCCAGGCAAAAATACTGGAGTGGGTTGCCATTCCCTTCTCCAGAGGATCTTTCTGACCAGGGATCGAACCTGAGTCTCCCGCTTGGCAGGCAGGTCCTTTACCATCTGAGCCGCTAGGGAGGCCCCCTACAGTTATTTACTGGGCACCAAATATAGGCCAAGGCCTGTGGTGCGTCCTGGCGGGAAAGCTGTGAGTGAGTCAGAGAACAGTCTCCATCCACGGGGAGCTTCCATTCACGCGCTTGTGCATTCCATGTGTCACATCTAATGCTTTTAATAAAGTCAGGTGACAGTCACTATCATTATAGTTACTTTTCAAATGGACAGTGCAGGCCTAGGGAGGTTTACGGACCCGCCCCAGGCCTCAAAGCTGGTGAGGGGCAATCCCAGCCAGGTAGTCTGGAGCCCAGGTCTTTACCTCTGCCCAGCCTCTTCTTCCACACTGCCTTTATACGTACTTATCGCGTATATGAAGGAATGAATTTCCCAATACTTTCTGAGCTCTTGGTTTTTCAATGATGATTCTTAACCAGCTGCATAATCCATGGTTTGGAGTAGCAGACACGGCATTTAGGCAGAGTAGTTACTGAGGATGTCAAAGCTCCAGGTGCTTCTGTATGGACACAGTGATCTTGCACCCAAATCCTCATCCTCTCGAAGGGCAGAAGGTCCAACTTAAACTCCTCATTTTTCTTTCTCTGGGTGCCCGTCAGCTGGTTTCTGTTAGCGTATGGCCGTCGGGAAAGAGTGCTGGGGCGTCTGGGACATTAGCTAACGTGCCCAAGGTCACAGTCAGCGGGTGGAGAGGAGTCGGGACCGTTGGTAGTCCCCACTTGTGCACTTGCAGGTCTGCGGCGGGTGAACGGGAACATCTTCGCCGCGTCTTGTGTCTTCTGTGGAGCTGCGAGGGGACGCGGCCGTAGGAGGTTATGTAAGACCATCACTCCTTTGATGTGCTTTCCTCTTGACTTCCTTTCCTTTCCTCCCCCTCCCCATTTTCTTCTGACTTGCCTTGGGGAGTTGGCCCACTATTTTACTGAAGGCCCCCAGCAACATTTCTAATGCATCGTAAAGCTGCTTATGAAACAGCGCCAAACAAATCTTTTGGGTTGGGGGCAGAGTGTGAATGAAATAAAAGAGCTTGTGGGTGGAGGTTCGCAGAGACCTATGGAAGAGCCTCTGAGGTCAATTTTTGTTCATTATCCACACTTTCTGGGCCATGCTGACCCCGGAAGGGCATATGCCTTTGAGTGTTCGGATGGATGCAGTGCAAACCAAAGGCCTAACTTCTGGTCTATTTAGCGGCCTTGAGTGCATTTTCATCCCCTTCATGCAGACTGGTGGCCTCCTGGCCAGATATGGTCCTTAAGTGGTATTTTGACCTCGGAGGTTAAAACAAAGCTTAGAGAAAATGGAAAAAGTAGCAACATTAAAAATTCAGATTATTCCTGTAAAAATTCAAGATTTCTGGTTTCTCTTAAATAATCAGAAGTGTGACTGCTCTGCTCTCACATTTCCTGTGTAAATGCCCAACCGTCTGTGAAGCTCTGTGTCGTGGGAGGTCTCTGTCTCCATTCATTCACGTTCTTCGTCTAAACCCCGATGGAATTTGAGGTTGTGACTCCTGTTACTTTCTGTAAGTGGTGAGTGTGTATGTATAAGTGTCTGTGTGTGTGTGTGTGTGTGTTTGTATGTGTGTGTGCGTGTCTTTCAGATCCTTAGGTGAAGGCAAGGAAAGTCTGTGTACTTTCAGGAGTACTTGATGCTCTGTTTTGATTTCATTTATTTCTGATCACGATAATCATTGAATCAAATGTCACTAAAGGGTGGTTGTGGTGGATTCATGATGTTAACCAAAAGCAGACACTGGATAAAGGAATGATTTTTTCAAAGAGTTCTTGCCAGTTAGTGAGTCATAATATAAATTAAGCACTTCACCACTAGTCTTACAAGCAGAAGAGAAAACATCAGCATTTTATAAGTTGACAGATGAATAGATAGCTAGATGACACCTAGATGATAGATTAAATAGATCAACAGGTATATTTGGTCACAACCTAAACTCTGTTACTGTGGGTTGCAATCACAAAAACCTTAAAGCCACTGGATCATCAAGTTTTAGAAACACAGTTGCAGGTTTGCTTTTATATGAATCAATCATCCTGTAAGTATTTCCCAGTTAACAGGAACCTTCATTCTTTCTGAAATCAGGGTTGACATCTAAGTAAGTAAATAAATGATGACCTCTGCCCTAAAAGATACAGAAGGCCACTTCTTTCACTTAAATAATTGATTGCAGTTACCCTTCTCCTAACAAGGTGTATTTCCATATTTGGTGGAAAAAAAGAAGTGTGAAAAAAATCTAAAACCTTGCAGAGCTAAGTGCCAAGTAGCAGAGTCAAATTTCTATGTGGGTCAAGCAGTGGATAGCAGTGAGGAGGGAAGTATTTTAAGAAGTCTTCAGGAGCAAAACAGGACTTGAGAAAAATGCTTTGAATTTTAGTTTTTAATTCTTTGAATTAAAATGACAATTAAAATCACATGATCAACCTCATAAGCTGGTTTTTATGTTAGCTTGTTGAAAGAGCCTTCTAATTTTTCTCTTTCTTCTTAGATGGTCCATACTAGCGAAATTCAAGCCAGCAGGTTTTGACCAATTAACATACTCTATGCTATACATGCTGAAGACTGCCATATGGCCGGGATATTGAGCCAACTGTAGATAATTAGATGAGGATAAATCTTCCTTTTTTTTTACTGCACTAATTGCATAGACTGGAATAGATAAAATCATTAACAGTAGTTTGGGTTGAAAATCGGTTTGGTTTCCATGCTGTGTTAAAAAGTTCTTTTGATGTGAGCCTCTCGATGTGAGCAAGACTCAGGCAGTCAGGCCAGTGTTCAGTTTTCAGTAAGAGTCTCAGCGGTGGAAGGAGAGGGATTGTGTCTTAGAATAACCAAGTAATTATTAATAATTGTAAATAATGTAATAATTGAATAGTGTTCTTTAAAACAAAAACAACCTCTTAGTTTACTGTTGATATCATTAATTATGTATACCCACACCACTGTATATATATGTATTTTATGTGTGTATATACAAATATATATATATGTATATATATACACACACATACTCTTGCAATGCAGGAGACACAGGACACATGGGTTCAGTTCCTGGATCAGAAAATCCCCTGATGAAGGAAGGTGGCAACCCACCCCAGTATTCTTGCCTGGGAAGTCCCATGGACAGAGGAGTCTGGTGGGCTATACAGTCCATGGGGTTGTAAAGAGTCGGACACAGCTGAGTGACTAAGCACACGTACAAAACACAGACACACACACACAGACACACATACACCCCCCACACACGCACACACATGCACATGCACGCACGTGCACACACACATGCACACACATGCACATACATGCATGCACACACACACATGCACATGCACACACATACAGTAGCTAAAACACACTGGCTTCTGGTCTAATTATATGTACCATTCTTCCTTATCAATACAGTTCATTTCTGTTTTTTAACAGCCTGAGATAGAGATGATTCCCCTCTTAATCCCTAACATTAATGATGAAACCCACATGTCTTTCCTTGAGTTCCCTCCATCTCTTACATTCCACGCATTGATTCAAGTTATGTCTATTTAAAATACTCTTGGCTATGTTTGGTTTATCACATGGAGTGAAAACCTGGAGTAAAATTGGATCAGTGCTTTTGGGAAGCAGAGGTGATTTCAGAAATAAAATCATCCTGCAAGCCATTGTCCGTAAAGAGGATCAGGTCAGAATCTGAGAGTCATAGAACCCTTTCTCACCTCTGAGCTGCAAGGCTCCGTTGCTGGTGAGTTTCTGAGTTGCGAGCTGTGGTGGGAAGGCCTTGCCTGGCGTCCTCTTTGACAGTCTTGGGAAGTAGAGGGATTGTATTAAAAGTCCAGAAGCGATTTGTTCATTAACCTTCAATAAAACCTTCAGGACGAAAAACACGGGGCACCAACATGTTGGCTTGAGGTGCTGGCTCCCTGCCCGTGTGTCTGTATTAATAACGAGTCGTCGACACTTCGATTCCAGTTAACTCCATTCAGCACATGTGAACGGGAATCCTGATCTCATACAAAATCAGTGAAGCTGATCTTGGGCTGTTCCAGGCTCTGGGAGCATTGAGCTTGGAGAAGCTGGTTTTCAGAATCTCTCTGTCTTTGTCTTCACAGGATGTGTGAGACTGGTGAAGGGCTGTTTATCTTTCAAACGCGAGATGGGGAGGCCATCTACCAGAAGGTCCACTCGGCCGCCCTGGCCATAGCGGAGCAGCACGAGCGCCTGCTGCAGAGCGTGAAGAACTCCATGGTACGTCTGGGAGCCCAGCGCGTGCTGTGGTAGGACGGTCTTGGAGTTTCTGTGCTGAAAATACGATCAGTATTTTGGGGGCAGATGCTTTCCTCCTATGCTCAACGAAGTGTCACTCGGATGACACGCACCCTTGGAAAGCTCCAGAGCGTCGCTTGGGAGCACGAGAAGCATCCGCCCGCCTGTCATCTGCTCACGCACTGTATGCCTCCCTTGCAATGCGCGTGTTTAATCAGTGCATTTCTGCAGCAGAATGCTGTCCACTGAGTGAGTTCTCACTGGGAGACTGAGAAGTCTGAGAGCAGGGTGCTGGCGGATTCTGGGGGGACACTTCCTGGTTTGTAACTGGCTGTCTTTTTACTGTGTCTCAAATGGCAGAAGGGTGAGGGGTCTCTCTGGGTTCCCTCTTGTAAGAGCGCTCATACCGTTCATGGGGGCTCTGCCCTCAGGACCCAGCCCCTGCCATATACCTGACTGTCTAATAACATCACTTGGGGGCTAAGGTTTGAACATGTCAATGTGGGGCTGGGAACACAATATTCAGTCCATTGCAGTCTGCATATATATACATTAAAATCCATTTGGTTTATGTATGGACAGCTATAGACACAACTCCATGAGTTATCTACCTCTGAAAGTGAAAGTCGCTCAATCGTGTCCAACTTTTTGCAACCCCAAGGGTATACAGTCTATGGAATTCTCCAGGCCAGAATACTGGAGTTGGGTAACCTTTCCCTTCTCCACGGGATCTTTCCAACTCAGGGATCAAACCCAGGTTTCCTGCATTGCAGGCGGATTCTTTACCAACTGAGCCATCAGAGAAGCCCATACATACTTATAAGTGTAACAGAAGTTGTAATTTCAAATGTCAGCAGTGGTCAGAGAGAAAATGTAAGTGAGAGAAGAGAGCTGAGAGGAAACTCACGACCAGACAACTGTTGACATGAGATCATGGTTTCTGTGTAGGAGAATTCTTAATGTTTTTTCTCTATAAATTAAGACTTTGAGCCTGTATAGTATCTTCCAGTTTGTAAGTGTTGGAAGTTAATTCCAGTTAAAACAAAAAAAAATCAGTAACACTTTGTAGGACAAAGAAAACCTATTTGTAAGACTCCATCCTGCCCACGGCCGTGTGTTTGCTGTCTCTAGGGGGTAAACCTTCATAGTCATCAATGTGTAAAGATACCCAGGGACTGTGCTTTGTATGGAGAATTGTGATTCATGAGTTTCTTCTTTACGAACAGTAAATTTACAAAATCTGAAGTGAATGTGCAACAGTTAAATAATGCAACTCATGAATTGTGACTGCAAACACATGCATAGAGAGTCACATCTGGGAAAGAAATCTGCAGAACCAAAAGGAACTGGGTTGGCATGGGAAGGTTAAGGCAATTTGAAAAGTCCGTGATTTAACCATGTGGGGTGGTTGGATTTAAAGAGGGGAAAAGCATGCCAGTAATATGATCCGTCCCAAGGCAGCCAGGGATTATTCCCTAATGACTTACGCATGCCGTGATGTGGGATTTTAGAGCAAGGATCAGCAAATTTTTAATACAGGGTGAGATAGTAATATTTCAGGCTTTCTGGACAAAGACGGTCTCTGCTACAGCTCTTTAGCTCTGCCATTGCAGAGCAAGTGAGAGCATAGGTCATGTGGATTCAAATGGACATGGCTGTGTTCCAAAGGAAACTTTATTAACAGACAGTGAAATTCAAATTTCACTTGATTTTTCACATATCATGAAATATTCTTCTTATTTCCCACTCAACCATGTAGAAATGTTCCTTTTGAACTAATAGAGTCTTGGCATCCATTTTCCCATATTCTTCCCAATTCTGGATATTGCAGTAGAGGTGGATGCATGCATGGATGGATGGATGAATAGAAAGAAAAAGGAAGAAGAAAGAAAAGAAAAAAAGAAAGAATTCAAGTCATTTTGAACTTACAGAGCAACGTGTCACTGCATTAAAACTGTGAGCCTCTCAAGATGCCTTTAAATGTCTGAAGGTTTTTTTAAGATTACCTTTTTGTAAAGCCATCAATTAGCATAAATCTGTCTGTACTTGAAAGGGAGGTTCTGCACACACATGTGTTTCCATTTATAACCTCATTACTTCCACTAAAAATTAATCAGAAATGTGAGTAATTCAGATCATCCCTTTGCAAATTTAACTGTAATATAATGTTGTTTGCTCTTAATTTGCTGTATGCTTAACAAGCTCTATGAAATGAATGTGATTTTAAAAGTAAAAACATCCTGTTTTAAATGGAAATGAGTAAACTTCAAAATGGGATCTGAATCTCAAGGGAGTTAAAACTGGGGATTGCAGAATGCTTAAAAATCAACATCCTTGAATCGATCTCTGATTAGGGGAGAAAAGAGATACTGTGCTAAAATGAAATGAATTGAGATGATGCTGTAATATTTCAGTTATAGTCTTGCGTTTTCTGCTCACTGGGAGAGGGTCCGCAGATTGGGTATATTTCGACTAGGCGTTGCTGTTATGCCACTACTGGCTGGCATCTCTGAGATAGTGAAGGTCATAAATGGAGAAAGATGGTGACGCTGATGTCATTAGGCAGCCCTAAACCTAAATCTCAATGACAGTTTGCTGCTGCTGTGGTAAAACTCCCAAGACAGAATGCTTTACCCATGACAGCTTGAAATTGCAGCCTTGTGTGAATGGTTTGAATCAGACTTATGACCCTGAATCCCAGAAGTCATAAAGAGGAGACATGTGAGTCAGATAATAACTATTATTTTTATTTGGTTATCATCACTGTTATTACTGTGATAGGCTGAATGAGGGCTCCCTGAGGATCTTCTACATCTTAATCCCTGGAGCTTTTGAGCATCATCTTCTATGGCAAAAGGGACTTTGCCATTGTGATTCAGTTAAAGCTCCTGAGATGGGGAGATTGTGCAGGATTATTCCAGTGGCACAGTGTCATCACCAGGTCCCTGTAAGAAGGAAACAGAGGAGTCGGAGTCAGACAGAAGTGACGTGGCCATGAAAGCAAAGGTACAGAGAGAGATTTGAAGCGTCTACCCTGATGGTTATGGAGACAGAGGAGCTGGGGCCCAAAGGTTACCGATGACCTCTAGAAATTAGAATGAGGAAGGAAGTGGACACCCTCCCGGAACCTCCAAGAGTGACCAGGACAGCCAGCACCGTGACTTTAGCCCAGTGAACCTTATTTCAGACTTCCAGCCTCTGGAGCCATTGGGGATATTTTTGTGTTGTTTTAATCCCAAGTTGTTACAATAGCCAGAGGTAACTAATACAGTTACGATTGTATTAGTTTATCATTGTAATACAATTGTTAAAATTATAATAATGTATGCAATTTTATACAATTACAATTTTATTAGTTACAATTGCAGTCACTGTTGTTATTCACCGTGTCCAGCTCTTTGCGACCCCACGGACCGAGGCACGCCAGGCCTCCCTGTCCTTCCCTGTCTCCCGGAGCTTGCTCAAACTCATGTCCACTGAGTCAGCGATGCCATCCAACCATCTCATCCTCTTTCGCTCCTTTCTTCTCTTGCCCTCCATCTTTCCCAGCATCAAGGTCTTTTCTAATGAGTCAGTTCTTTGCATCAGGTGGCCAAAGTGTTGAAGCTTCAGCTTCAGCATTAGTTCTTGCAATGAATATTCAATTCAGGGTTGATTTCCTTTAGGATTGATTGGTTTGATCTTCTTGCTGTCCAAGGGACTGTCAAAGGTCTTCTCCAACACCACAGTTCAAAAGTATCATTCTTGGCATTCAGCCTTCTTTATGGTTCAACTCTCACATCCATACATGACCACTGGAAAAACCATATCTTTGACTATATGGGCCTTTGTTGGCAAAATGATGTCTCTGCTTTTTAATATGCTGTCTAGGTTTGTCATAGCTTTACTTTCAAGGAGTGTCTTTTAATTTTATGGCTACATTCACTGTCTGCAGTGATTTTGGAGCCCAAGAATTACAATTACAATAATTACAATTACAATATTATAATAATGAAAATGTGTTGCGTCTCTGTAACAGACAATAATGCATGGGCTTTGTGTGTACTTTCTGACCATCATAATGACCCTTGGATCAGAGGCCTGAGCTTGGAAGTAGCAGGGCTCAGATTTGGATCAGGTGTGCTGGGACAATCCCCACTTCACGCTTTTTCTCAAAATCAGGCATGTTTTCTTTGCCCTTCATGAGATCTGCTCATTGCCGTTAATGGCTGACACTTAAAAGTTAAGATATTTCACATAAAACTCAGATTTCTGTATCATCTTGAAAAGGGAAAAGGTCCCGCAGCTCTCGCCCTGACGTGGCCACCATCCGAGACGCCCCCGCTTTGGGGGGCCGGGGTCTTCAGTTCTCCAAGGCCCCCGCCTCCCCCTGGCCCCCCGGCAGGTGGCTCCCGGCGCTGTGGCCGGTGAAGTCCCGTCTGTATTACTGCAGGCGTCCGCTTCCTGTTGCTAGGCGAGAAAGCCACAAAGTCCGCGCCCCAGAGCAGCGCGCATTTGTGACGTCGTAAACGGTCGCGCGCGTCAGGAGCGCTGACGTGGCTCACCTGGGCCCTCAGCCGCAGATCGCCGCGAGGCTGCGCTGCCGTAGGCCCCGGCCTGCGGGACCTCATGCCGGGCGGTCTGAGGTGGAGCGGGCGCAGTGGTAACAGAGAAAAAGGTCACAATAAGTAGAGTGACTTAAATCTCCCCTCCCCCCAGTCCACAGAAAGGCAGTCTTCCACGAAACCGGGCCCTGGCGCCAGGAAGGCTGGAGGCTGCGGCTGTCGTCTTCTCTCACGGTCAGATTGGGGAGCGCCCTCTCACAGCCTCGTGGTGGTGATCGGCGGAAATCAATTCCTTGGGGCTGCAGGATTTGAGCGCCCCGGTTTCCTGCTGGCCGGTGGGTGAAGGCCGCCCTCGCTCCCGGAGGCTGCCCTCCATTTCTCGCCGTCTTCCTGCTCGTTTCGTCGAAGCCAGCAAAGAAGACTCCCCTTCACCCTGAG